GTGGATTTTCCTGCCTGTGAATCCAATGGATCGTACAGGGGACCTACGACATTGTACTATAATTGTTCTCGGAATGTTCTAAATGTTTGGTGCTTGATAAATATCAAACTTCTAGGCCCTTTCAGAATAAATTTCAGTAGTCAACAGTGTAAGTGTTCTAAAAAAAGTCAGAGGACCAACCGATGGCCTAAAGTTACATATAATCAATATTTCATGTTCTCTATTACAATAACAGTGTTTAAAGAAATAGTAATACTAGAGTTGGAAAGCATAATGCGCCTTGGATCATGTCTCATGTCTTTTTTTCTCATTGCCCAAACACTGTTAGTTCTGCTATATGTCCCTTCTTTCAGTCATAAGGTTTATACATGTATTGATTTTACAAGATTAGATTCACAGGTTAGTTCTAATAGTGTGACACCGATTGTGTTTGTGGTCTTCCAGTTTTCCTGTTTCTTCCATGCATGTGAAGGACTCATATCTTACAACCTGAAAACTGAATGTACCTCATACAAAGGCAGCTTGGCAGTTGTGGCGCTCTTATATAGTAGAAAAATGTTATTTGGTGAAAAGAAGCATAGCCTGTGCAGTAATAAAAATAAATACACTGATCCACTTCATTTCTGAGATAAATGATTAGTGTTCAGATATAAGAGGAGATCATTTGAATTCGTCTATTGCAGCTACAAATCAATGAACAATTTCAAAAATAGAGCTGCACTATTGTTTAGTATTAGCCTTCACAACCTTTTCTTAGACAACGTTTGATTCTGCAACACTACTCCATGCTGTGACAAGCATTTCACCAATGAACACGTTTTACAAAAAATATCATCAGCCAAGCTTTATTGATTAGGGTTTAGCATAACCGGAACACAAAGAACTTTAAAATTGTGAAATCCAACGTATTCTGCAGCGGGCGTTCTGGACGGCAAGGTGATTGTTGAGGCCTCATATGGAGGCATGACCTTGCTGTTCAATTTGCAGATGATGCCCATCGACGCTGCACTACCAGAAAAACTTGGTTTGCCGACGGCCAAATCTATGCCGACGGCGCCCGTCGGCATAAATGGAGCTATGCCGACGGCCAAGGGCAGGCCGTAGGCGTAGAAAAGCCGTCGGCATAAATCCATATATGCCGACGGGGCCGCCGGCATAGACGAGGCCGTCGGGACCGCTCGAGATACGCCTACGGGGCCCGTCGGCATAGGAGCAGCCGTCGGCATAGCCCGTGCCCAGCTACAAGGTCAGCGCTGACCGTTTGACGGCGTTGAGCCTACGCCGACGGGTGGTAACGGCGGCCGTCGGCATATCTGTGCCAGACCTATGCCGACGGCATAGCCGTCGGCATAGACCTGGCCCATACCCCTCTGCCACGTCGTCGATCCGTGTGCTACGCCACGTCATCAATCCGTGGGACTGCACCTTCGTGTGTGCAAAGATATGCCGACGGCCTAGCCGTCGGCATACATTTATTTATTTTATTTTTAATTTTTTTTATACTACCTATGGCAAAGATATGCCTATGGTATGGTCGTCGGCATAGGCCCCTCTGCCACGTCATGGATCTGTGTGCCACGCCACGTCATCGATCCGTGGGACTGCACCTACGTGTGCCGTTGGCATACTTGTTTTTTTATTTTTACTTTATTTTCTGATTTTTACTTTATTTTAGTTTTTGTTTTTGCATAAGATAATTATGCCTTATCTAAAAAAACATACCCTGATTGTATATCGATTGCCCTCCCGTTACGAACGTTGCTATCGACGTGTCACGGAGGGGGGAAACGGTCGACACGGAGGGAATTCTGGTTGGTTGGGGGATTCGGGGTGTAGCTATGTCACCGAAACATCGCATGGGTCCTGATGCATATGTGAAAGTGTTCAGGCATGCGTAGACGCCCGTCTTGGGGCTCCGCGGTGTGCCCCCCTGCACGCAAGGCAGTCCCGCCATCACTTGGAGGGGG